GAAGACACATGCATCATGGCAAAAAATGAGGGTTTGAAGAAACATGTGACTTGGTAAGGCTATTTAAAGGAAGATCACCAGAAGATTTCACGTTAAAAGTGAAGGGTCGCGCATCTCGGGATTGTCACACATAAAGATTGAGGTTAATAAAAGGAAAAGCAACTACATAAAATAGAGGGGTTCGTCATCATGGTAGTTGATATTTTTTTCACGATTCTAAAGATTACGTGATGGGAATTGAATCGACTAGACTACTCAGCTTTAATGATGAGCCGAACCTTACTGCAAAGAATTTGAAGACTAAATGGTACGTATTCCAGCTTATTCTGAAAGGCATAATCTTTGGTAATAATTCATCCTCAAGGGGAACGGGGTTGCCTTTTAGATGAATAGTTAGGGGTAATTATGGGACCATGATTTTCTAAGGCTGGAGTAAGGCTGATTTGAATACTGTTAACTCAGAAGTCCGTTCATGACCTTACTAGCTCTGAGCGGAGATGTATCAAACGGAGCAAGGTGCCACCATTACTTTACTTCGGGGCAATAGGCGAAGTCTTAGCGACTCTGCTAGATGACTATGCTTGTTCCGTAAGACACGCGATCTGATCAAGATACGGACACAATCAGATCCTATAAGTCTTGGAATCCCTACAATCTAGGGATAGGCGTGCGCTGCAAGTAATCACAATTCTTAAGAAGATGCAATATTTACTTACTAGATATCCTTTAGGATTCTCCCAGTATAGGACGAGGATTCTATCCTAAAGGGTCTCCCTACTATGGTATAAATACATCTATCTAGGGTTCATCTACGGCAACGTAAGCTTTACATTTGAATTCTTTTGCTCATTGCTTGAGTCTCAAACCATTCAATAGCTTGACCATCGGAAAGCCTTTGGCTGGCACACCTCCTACCCCAGCCTAAGGTTTGCTTACGATTGTTTCATTATTTTGCAAGTTGCTCAGGATTACACGAATTTGTGCACAACCATCAATCATGAAGGTACACATATTTGGTTTCAACAAGCGAGTATTTGAACAAATGACCACCGCCGTCACCGTTAGCAAGCATCAGATGAGGAAGAAAGTGGGGATGAACATGCCCTTCATTTTATCTCCACGCTTTGTGCAAATCCAACGCTTTCATAAGACCCACATGGAAGCCTTACGAATAGATGAATGTTATAGGACGAGTTACAAGAAACATGGAAAATTATAGAACGAGTTGCAGGAAGAAGGAAAACATTTTTGGAGATTTACGGCAGGCAATATGATTTTCTAGGATTCAATCCTTTCTCAGCAAAAGACTAATACGAATTAGAGTTAAGCTAGGAAAACACATACATTATGATAAAAAATGAGGAGGGGTTGAAAAAAAACAATGACTTGGTAAGGCTATTTAAAGAAGATCACTAGAAGATCTCACTGTTGAAAGTGAAGGCTGATCCGAATACTTCGAGGCAATAGGCAAAGTCCTAGCGACTCCACTGGATGACCAGTTAGGACTTCACTGGATGACCATGCTTGTTCCGCAAGACATGCAATCAGATCCGGATATGGACACAATCAGTTCCTATAAGTCTTAGAGTCCCTACAATCTAGGGATAGGTGTGCGTCACAAATAATCACAACTCCAAAGATGATACAATATCTACTTACTAGATATCCTTTAGGATTCTCCAGTCTTAGAACGAGGATTTAATCCTAAAAATGTCTTTCTCCCACGGTACAAATATACCCTTCTTGGGTTCATCTACGATAGCGCAATCTATACATTTGAATTCTCTTACCCACTGCTTCAGTCTCAAATCATTCACTAACTTGATTGCTAGAGAGCCTTTGGTTGTCACCCATCCCCTTACCCCCTACCCCCTGCCTAAAGTTTTCTTACGATTGCTTTACTATTTTGCGGGTTGCTCATGATTATACGGATTTGTGCTCAACCACACGGAGGTGCACATATTTGGTTCCAACACTCATTGAGCTCTATTGAGTGACTTTGGAACTCTATGTTTCTTGTCGATGCCTTGAGAAATTTCAGAGCTAAATAGAAAGGTGAATTACGAATGGCTTGATCCCGTCTTTGGGTACGTAAGAAGTAGGGATGGCAATTTAACTCGTAAAATTCGATCCCCGCAGATAACTGATCTGAACAGTTTGATTTTGAGGATCAAATTTAGGATATTTCACTGTTATGGGTAATCGTCGGGTAAATTGTCTGGTTTCGAGTTCAGTTTTGGTTATTGGGGTATCCATCTTGTACCCGTATCCGAAACCGTTCCGTTTTCATTCTTTAATAAATAATAAAAATATTTATTATATGTTTTTATTTATTTTCTCCAGCAATTTATCAATTAAGGGATTCTAGAGACTTCGAAAGTCTTGAGCGTGCAGACTTCAGAGGTCTCCAACAACATTATTCCAAAAAATTTTATGCTTTCAATCAAACGATGGAATCTATAAGAAGCTGAATAGAATTTTCCTTCCAAAATTGAATTGTTTTCTAGCCTTTTGGCTTAGTTGGGATGGAAGAGAATCAGGACTTAAGCTACTCTGTCCAACTATTTTTTCTTATTCCCTTTCTTTGCATAGCTTCCTGCTTCGACTTGTTTCTCTTTGTTGTCTGTTAATTTGTAATCATGTTGTGCTTTGTTCCTCTTGTATGAATTCCTCTTATTTGATTGAAACCCAAAGGTCTTCAGCAAACTTTGTCCTTGTTTTTATGAATTCCTCTTTTTATTCTCATACAAAATGGCAGCAGCATGCGGCCAGCAGCCTCTTGCCTTCTCCTTTGCTATCCGTAACTATCCATATTGGGAAAACCGTTACCCGATGAGGAATCCATTACCTGCACGTTCGGTTATGGGAATTCTTCTTTCGGGGATTGTACGATTTCAGTTATGGGGTTGGTATATCCAAACCCAATCCACTCCATTGCCATCCACAGTAGGAAGTCTAGCATAAAGTTTAGATGCAGCCATAAACTAGAAGGAATAGATACCACGTTGTTGAATCATTGGATCGCTTAATCATGCCTTGGGAGTGAGGCGTGTTGTGGTACAATTACGTCTTGACATCACGTGTCAATCCTATAGGTATCTCGGGATCGAGCATGACAAATAATATGAATTGTAACGTTGTGATTATTTTAATCACAATTAGAGTCTTAATTGGTGCGTGTTATTTTAATTCCAATTTAGTTTAGTTCGTTGGGTTCTCTATTAAGGGTTCCACATTTTTAGTTAGATAATTAGTTAAATAGTTGTACAAGTAAGCAATACAGTTAGTAAGTTTGTTATTATTTGGTTAGAGTAGTTAGGTTTTCTATAATTAAAACAGTGTATGTAATCATCATTCTTTTTAAGTCAATATACAAGTCTCATGTTTCTCACTCTAAATTCTCTCTAGTTCATCTTTCTTGGTTACTCTTTCTTCTTGATTTTCTATTCGATTCTCAAACATTTCAGTTAACATAGTATCACACCATAGATTCTGGTGGTTTAACTGCTCAGTAGTTTCATCTGCTTCTAGTTTTACTTCTCTTCTAATTTTTCGTTAGAAATTCCATTAATTTCTTTGGTGCTTCTGCAATCGTTCAGTACTTTCTGGGTTAATTTTCATTCTGGGTTGTGATTAGAGATTATTGGTGATGTCATATCTCGGTCTTTGGAATTGTAGCAAATTTTTCTTTGTCCATGAGCATGAATCTTGATTCTTCAGGCCAACTAGAAGCGGGAATTTTTCGGTTCTTGTGTATTCGAGATTTTTCATATTTTCATCAAGTTCTTCACCTCCGATGGAATGCCTTCGTCTTGGTGGGGCACGTAATGGTGGTCTACGATTTGGAGAAATGGAACGAGATTGCATGATTATCCGGGCCATCAATTATTGGTGCGTTTTCTTAGGTGCCTTCGATCTAGTTCTTCATCTTGGTGGTGTTTTCAGATGAGCTTTCTGAGTTCTATTTTCTCCGATTTTGATCCGTGCTCTGTTCTCTGGTATGGAAGAGAAAGTTTAGACCTATGTGCACCCTAAGTGTTTGATGAAATGCCCAGCTCAAAAGTTATATGTGAAGGTTAAGTTTTTCAATCGCTTTTTCTGAATTTCTTGGTCTGATTCTTTTAGTATAACGTAAATCAATTAGTTTGTTGTTGTGGGCATGAAGTCATTTCAGTTGATATGTTGAGTATTAAGTGCTCGAAGCCATCTTTCTTCTGAGTCGTTATGTTCTTCCGCAACTTTTGGGTTCAAGATTGGTCATTGCTTCAAGATCAGTGTTTGTGATATCCTCCATTTGCTGGAATTTTTGAAATCATGAATTGTACAATTTGTATGGGCCTAATTCTTGTCTCTCTGCTTCACTGATTTCTACAATTCTTTTGAGGAGTTTGTGTAGTATTTTTCCCTTATCACAACCTATAATGTCGAGTCTAACCAGCTCAGTTGTTAGCATGTATCTGCTATAAGTCCGGTTATACATGTCTTATGAAAAGATGAAGTTTGAAGAAGTTGTTGACTTGAGGTAAATCCCACGAAAGGTAATCCGGTGATATGAGTAGCTAAATCTCACAAAGGATAATCCTACATAGATGTTGATTTTATGTTGTTGAAATTGTGAAGGTCGATGCCATTGTTAAGAGAAGTTGTTTCCGGTAAAATCCACAAAGAGCGATCCCGTGGTACTATAGTTAAGGCTGATGTCATAGTATAGTTTGTTAGTTTTCTATTTTTGTAAATATTAAAGGCCGAAGCCAATGTTGAATGAGATTGTTGATGGTAAATCCCACGAAGGGTAATCCCGCAAGAAATTATTATAACCAACATGAGGGTGTTTTGCGACTCCTATATACAAGGCTATTCTTTGATTGAAACTCTTGTGAGAGGCAGAGAAATATTGGGTGGCATGAATTCAGGATGTGTGCAGCATAGTTCTTTTCAAAGATTTTGGTTTGTATGTTGTAGTGATGCAGTGAATATATATTTGAAGAAAAGGGGAATCATATTTGAAGTGGAAGACATAACTTCTTCAGGTTACTATACAATATTGGAGAACATTCTGTCTTTGAGAAGATTATATCTGGAAAAGTAATGCGTGATGACAATGGGATGAGTAACATGTTTTGGTTTTGGCAAGTTTGAAAGGATGACATTTCCATGCGAAACAAGATCAACAAATTAAAGATAAAACCCTAAAATAGCAGTGATGATAAGAAAAACGGAACTTCATCGTGATCATATGCTCATGGGGCTTTCTGGATCATTCAAAGCTGCAATGGCTGTTTCAATTTTTATCTTCAAATCATCTTTTTCTTCTTCGTCTGCCTGCAAAATCCAAGGAACTATCATTAACTATTGCGGTACAAATTCAAAATAATAATATGGTTTGTAATATATAAAACAGAATTAGATGTTCGAACTCGATTTATTATTTTAATACGTGAAGCATCGACTCCAAATACTATTGAGATTATTATATATATGATATGATGATGCATATGATGCGATGCATGGGAATGTCACACTCTATTTCGTCCCGTCCCACGTACCAAACGATACCTTAGGGTTAGGTGTCTGTTTCTCTGTTGTGGGCTCAAACTGGTTGGGCTTTTGTGTTACTTTTGAGGTCCATTATTTTGCTTATGTGGATATTATATTTGGACCTCTAATGTCTATATGCTTGTTTTGTTAATGAAGCATCCTTTGACCAAAAAAAAAAAAAAAACTAAAATCATTAAGATGGCGTAATAACGACAAACATAAATTATAAATTATTCAAAGCGTGTTTTGATTATTTGGGTGAGCAACCATCACTTCATGAAGTTGAATAAAAAGACATTTAACCATATATATATATATGAAATATATTATTATTTTCTTTTTTATGAATAAAGACAAGGAAGAAAAAGACATTTAATTTGTTAAAAAAACAGAACATTTCAAATTTATTGAAAAGGAAGGAGCAAGTGGTGTGAATAGGTTGGCGACAGAATCATTGGGTTTTTTTGTTTTTTTTTTTTTTGTTTTGGTGCTAACTACAGTTGGACCAATATCTTTTTTGTTTTTTTTTTTTTTTTTATAGAGATTTTAAAACTTAAAAAAAATATAGAAGTAGAATAAGAAGACAAAACAAGATGTAATCAATCGTGCATTCAGGTCGTTTCTTGTAATTTTCGTTGGAGATATGACAAAACAGAACAAGAAAAAGAAATTGCAGCAGAAATTATACTAATTGGGACCATTAACGAAGTTTTTATTTGGTTAAAAAATTAAGTGATTGAGAAACACTATCCCACTTACAAGGAAAATATAACTAGTCACCCTAATAACGAATTTTACAAAAGCCAGCTTGGTTTTTTTTTCTTTTCTTTATATTATTACAGTTTAATGATATTATTCTCTTCATTTATAAGTAAAAAGTTTTATGTTCGATTCCTGCCAAAGACAAATTTAAACCATATTATTATAGCTCGCTCATTTTGAAGCTTAGACCACTCCTCACTCTTTTAATGTAAATAATATTATTTGTTAAAATAAAAAAAAATAAAAAAAATCACCAACCAAAGGCAACTTGGTAGTTGTAATGAAGCCACAGCTTGGAACAAAATAATTAAAACGATGACCATATTATAATGCCCTCAAAATTCATAGGGGACCATATAATATCTCAATGTGAATTCCCCACGAGGTTTTGAAAACTTCTTATTCCCAACCACCCAATTTTTGTTTGTTTGCTAATATTTTTTCGATTTTTTTAATAAAGGATTTTTTTTTTTTTCGAGACTTTACCCATATGGGAAACATGTCTCTTTGTAACCGTTGACCCAGAACATATCCATTGACCTATTGACATCACAATATATATCTCTCCCACCACTCCAATGCAAGTTTCCCGCTTGCTGGATTTGGGAATGGAAATGTCATGTGTTCAACTTCCATTAACATATTATATCATATCATATAAGATGCGAAAATATATCATTCTGCTATGTATGACCTACATCTCATCATTAATTTTGAGTTTTTTTTATGGTTTTGAAATGAATGAGGTGAACTGACCTAGTTATAAAAGCATAACAATATGGTAAGCCCTAGCTAGGTTTTAACTTTTTAAAGACACGCAAGAAGAGAACGATAAAAAAAGTAAGTAAAAATAAAAAAAATGAATAAAAAAAATGGTCTTATAATTCACGTCACAATGACGGTATAGCCCATCGTTTATTTAAGTTGGCTTTATTTATAAATTATTATGTCGTTTGGACTGAGTAGCCTCAGTTCATCCAGAAGATGCTTAAGTGTATATCTCCTTAAGTTGAATAAACAAGCTGTCAAAGTTTAGTTTGTTAAAGTTGAAAATCAAAATGGGGTCGTTTGATCACTTTTGTTCCTCGACTGGTTTTATTCGGACACTCTGGACGGGATCGCCCTGAGTGGTAAGTAGCCACATGTCCGGACCCTCAATTCACTTTATTTAAAGTGCTCTCCATCGGTTTACAAATCTTGTAATTGTGGTGGACCCTCAAATTCTACCTCTTTCATTAGAATTATCATGGACATGATATTATTTGGATTAAATTGACATTCTATCACTGTCTTCATTGCTTTTCCTTTTATTTAAAATATTATATTTTTTGTATAGTAATTCTTGTGACAGAACATTATTGTTCCATCACAATACATATATATATATATATGACAGTTAATATCTCAACAAATAATTAATTATATTAATTAATCTGATAAGTCGAATAATACGGTTAAAATTATAAAATCTCTCTCTAAGGTGAAACAAGTACTTAAAATCTCTAAAGTTTTTAAGTGTCATTCTAAATTAGTCTTAAACTTTGCACCAAATATTCTTTTTGCTTTCAATGGAAGGTTGAAAGCTTTTTAAATAGTTGAGAAGTTTAGTTGAGCACTATCACTTGGAAATAAATTCTATTGTTAATTAGCATGTACCCCATTTCAGGGTCTGTTACATTTAAAATGGGTATGGTCTCTCTGTTACCTTAATTATTAAATGTCATGTTTATAAACTTAATTCTTCTTGTTGTTAAAAACTTAATATGCGTCAGTCAATAATTAGGACTAAAGAAATGTCACGCCCATTTAAAGTACAGAAGATTTGATCTCCACAACAACAAATGCTGCTAGTGCCACTAGAGTTGGCCAATCAAGTGCCACAGTTGTTTCTACGTTTTGAATTTTGTCTTTTAGTTGAATGAAATTTCCAGTTTACCTTAAGACCAAGTCCACCTTTTACGCGGGCAAGGGCAATACAAAGGTAGGAGCATGTAAATTGCCCCTTGTCAAGTGATTGTTTTTGTGCAAGTCTACCCGTTTGGCAAGAAGAGGACGATTACTATTTACATATTAATTTTTTTAAAATTTTTTTATACTTTGTAAGTGTGTTTAAGTGTGTACTTAATAAATATTCTTTGAAAATAAAACTCCCTATATAACTCCAATAATTTAATTATAATTAGACCAAGCATAATTAATTAAAGTAAAATTCCCTAGAGCTGAACCCTGTAAGTTTGCTTAAGTGTGTTGTTCAAAATAAATTTTGTATTTTGTTGGAATATTTTACTTTTAGATTAACCCTGGTCGCTGATTCCTAGTTTTTTTTTTCTTTTTTAAAGATGCACAAGTTTGTGCACGTGGCACAGTCTACAGTTTTCAATTTCTTTTACCATTGAAAATCCAACAGCACAGATGAAAAAAACGTTGGAAATCCAAAGGCTGAGGGCGAGGCTAAAGGAGTCTTTTGGCTCGGTGGGTTGCACATGTCTACTGCCTGACGTTAGCCTAATGTAGGCCATTGTCTAGGTAATTCTTAGCTGGGCAGCCTAACGGGCTACTGCCTTTCGTCCATTTGCCAGCCATTTTTTTTTGGGAAGACATCCTATCCGGATTTCTCCTATCAAATTCCAGGATTCTGGAGATTCGAAACTTTAAAGTTTGATTTAATGGCTACAATTATTATAATTTTTAAAGGAGCTTCGTATTTGTAATCGTTTAATCAAATTTCATAAGCAGGGATTCCTTGATCCTTAGGATTTGGTGGAAGAGATCCAGATGAGATATCTTCCCTTTTTTTGACCGGATAGATGGTTTTATTGAGTCCAAATGCATAGGCATTTGAAGCACGGGTAGAGATAACAACAACATCAAAGTTTTTTCTATTAGGTAAGATCGACTATATAAATCTTAAAACATTATTGCGCTAAGTTTTGTGTCACGTCTTCCATTAGATCCAAGTAAGTCTTGAAGCACGGGTAAAAATGCACCAAAAAAATTGTCCAACACTGAATTTGCTAGGGATTTAAATTACCAAATTCCAAGTGACTAATTAAGAAAGTAAATTAATTAAAAAGTAGTAAGGAAAAAGCAACTTACCTCAACGAAAACCGTCTTCAAAACCCTCCCGTTGAAAGAAGTAATATTCGCGGTAATAATTTTGAGCTTCAAAGATTCGAATACCTCGCACAATTTTACCATTGTGTCCGTTCTTTTGCTGCATGTCAAGCTCACTACCACTGTTTTTTCACCCATGTATGTAACCCTAAGCTGTAAAGTGCAACATAAAGGCTCACATCATTAATTAATATAATATTACATCCATCATGAGTTAATTAACCGACCAGTGTTATCCACACGTCAATTTTATTTTTTACACTTCCTTTCAATTTTAGGCAAGATCAATGATAAAATATTAACAGAATTATGTTGGAGGTAAAAATAAATATACAAATGACATTGATCAATTAATTAACATGTGTATCATTCACTCTTTTAAAAATGCAAATAAAGCTTTTCCGAGAAGTGTAGACAGAGATTTTTTGTTAGGGTGTGTTTGGACGAGAGATTGAATTAATTAATAGTTACCTCGAGGATTTCGATTGTGGAAGTTCTTGATCCTTCAGAGTCGTAGATCTGATCAATTTTCTTCTTCTTTGATCTCAACAGGACCGGTAGGTCTTGTTCGAAATCGGAACCCGGATTTTTGTTTGATTTTCCAGATTCAAGCTCAACTATCTCTGTTTGAATTCTTTTTTCTTGTTCATGCAGCTCTTGGATATATTCAATGGCGTCTTTGATTATAGAAGCCTTGTCCATCTGTCCTCCAAACCCAACAACAAAACCAAATTTACAAATAATAGATAAAAATAAAGATAAAAAGCCCAAATCATGAACACTATTTCGTCAAAAAGAAAATAAAATATAGGGTCATGTTGTGATTTGATCGTCATATTATAATGGGAGGAAGCAAATTAAAGAACACTAATTAACTGCTAATTTGGGAGCAAGCAAAGCAATAATTAAGGAGATAGAGTGTATATGAATAAATTAAGATTAATAATTTAATATATTGTATGGTTAACCTTGCTAATGTTGGGGACCACTGCTCTAAGTGCAAACAGCCTTTCATTGAGCTTCTTCCTCCTATTCCTCTCAGACACAATATTCTTGGAGGCCATGGATGAAGCTGCTCCGTCCGGCGAGCTCGAATCGTAGTACCCGGAAAACGCCTCATCCAAACCCCAACTGCTACGGACCACGATCATGATTGGTGTCAAAAAGCAGCATATATGTAACAATTGACAACATGTACTTCCTTAATTGTGGGAAGAAAAAAACATAGAACACTAGTATTTTCAAGGTTACCTGTCAAGCTCTTCGGTTTGGAGGAACATATTGGTTTCCCAGTAATGTTTGTACTCTTCGCCAATATTGTCCATGGCGGACGGGGGAGAGAGAGAGAGAGAGAGAATGTCGAAACTGAAAGCAAAGGTATTATTTTGGGTGGCAGTGAGTGAAATTTATAAGTGGAGGGGATTTTATATGACACACGTGGGAAAAGAGGAAGCTTTGATGCTTCTTCCACGAAATGATCTAAACCGTCTAACGATTGACTGACGACTGCAAGTCTACAATTGAAAATGTGGTCTACAAGGCCGCGTAATAAGGCCGGACAACGGTTCTCTTTCCTTTTTTTCTTTTCTTTTTCCTTTCTTTCTTTCTCATTTTCTCGTTTCTTGTTTGTGCCCTAAAAATTTTATTTTATTTTTTTATTTTTGTGGAGAGAGAAAAGAAAAAAAAATATGAAAGAAGGAGAGAGGAGTAAAAAAAATTATGAAAGGAAAGAGAATCTCCGTACCACTCTAAATAAAAAGACTGAGAACTACCTTCCTTTCCATCTTGAGGTTTACAACAAACAAATAATAAACAAAATGTTAAGAGAATGTGAGGAACACTCAACGCGTGTTTTGCATTCTCCCAACGGTACTTTCAAATTTGTATTCCATGGGTGCGATCAAGCAGAAGGTATACTCCACGCACCTATCGCACCACGAGATATAGTAAAATTGGGGAAATAGGTAAATAGATGGAATCTTTTACCAATTTTCAATTAAACATAATAAAATTGTTATCGTTTTTTTTAACAAATAACATTATTTACACTAAGGGGGAGGCGAAAAATTGTTATCGTTTTGGCTTAAAAGAATGGAGAAAGTCCTCCATAAGCAATGAATCAAATTTTCCTTTTATTAAAAGAGTCAATGAATGTATGTGCATACTTCTTTTTTTTCCAAGTTTTTCATTTACAATGCTATCTGGACCTACAAATACGGAGATGATTGGAATGAATGATGGCGGTGCAAATTTTCGCCGTCTCTTGCTGTGACAAAAATGCATCTATAAAACAATAAACACCTTTGAACAAAGACAGTGGTGGAGCCAGAATTTTAGCTAAGGAGGGGCCTAAAAATCTCACCCTAAAATGCTATTCTGACATAAGAAAAATACAAGTCTGTCGTGTCCTAAGCTACGACCACCATTACTTGGGTTTGGTGTGACGTCTTTCTTGTCATAAAGCAAATTTTAAAATAAAATCCAGTTGTCTCGCCTACTTTATCTCTCTCCCTCTTCTGATCACCTGAGTCATACAAACTCACAGTGACGCTGGTTAATTGCATGGAAGCCACAGCCTCAAATTGAACCCAATGAAAAAAAAATAAGGAAAATATTCTAGTTGGGGCCCTAATCCCATGAAAAGTCTTTGGAAATCAAAGGAATAACTCTAGTTTTTTGCATGAAAAAATAAAATTCAAGGTAGGCCGGAGACCATTTTGGTCCTTTCATGGCTCCGCCCATAAACAAAGACTTCAGCCTCATGCGCCCACAAGGTGGCTGGGGAGGGGGTTAGGCCAATGGATGTCCGATGCCTAAGTTAGTTTCTCTGAAAAGAGTATGTGTTTAAGGCTTTTAGGGGTAACAAAAGCTTACCAAAATTTGGTAAAGATGGAGGTATATATAGGGGAATGGCCAACCATGGTGTTAAGGTTATACCTTACACATGGCGGCATCCTATTGGCCATGGTTTATGGAGAGAATATTCTCAAGATATTAAATAGGAAATAATATTTTGAGATAATGGTTCAAATATCCCCAATTGATTGAAATCGAGATTACTTACTTGAAGGATTTGGGTAATTATCTTTATCTTTAATGATTTGACTTTTCCTTGCCATGGGCAGGTGAGCTGTGGGCAGTCGTATTCAACTACATGGACCTTTAGGGATGCTGAGCTGTGTGTGGGAGTATCTGAAAAGTGTGCCCATTAATGAGGGCAATCTTGTCTTTATTGAGCAAAAGTCCACATGTCGCCTTTAGGATTTTTGGGATTATTTTAGGCTCCACAAATTCCCTCACACCTGCTGGGCTACACGTAGAAAAAGGGCAGTAGGTGTAGAAGTCCCAAGCTGCCTAGTTATGTAGATAGTTATTTCCCAATTTGATGCATATCTCATTCTTTGACTTGGAGATAGACTTTTCTAGGAAAAGGAAACCAATTGCCCCCAATACCTATTTAATTTTGTCTTAAGAAAGGGATTAAATAAATTTGGAGAACAATTTTTATCCCTACAAGGAAGAGAGAAGCCAGAGGAAATTTGTTCCCTCTCCCCTAGCTTTCTTTTTCTCTTACCCTTGCAAAGAGTTATTTCTTGTTGTTCTTCTTCTTCTCCGTGCCGCACCAAGGTAAGAATTTTTTTTTTCATTCTTCTTAATTTTCTAGAGCCTTAGGCTTGAAAATTTGGCTTGGCGAGGGCCAATGAGGTGTGAGAAAAGTGGCAGGGGTGCCACGGTGCTCCAAGGAACAGCTCAGGCTATTGGCAGCACGGCACAGGGACTGGTTGACGTAGGCTAATAACTCATCTAGGCTTGGGCAGAGGTGGCAGACATGCTGGGCATAGAATGACAAAGAAGCCAGCTTGGGTTGGGCCTCTATGGCTATTAGGCATCGGCCCATGCAGGCAAAGGAATAGGGAAAGACCGGTGTGGGCTGGGTCTCTTCTGCTGGCGAGTTGGGCAGAGATGCGTTGGGCCTTGTTGGTCATACACGTGAGTGATGAGGGGTGAGAAGAGGGCTGGGCCCTCCGTGGCTTGGCTCAGATGGTGAATTGGGTCGTGGGGCCTGGCTCTAGTGCGCTGGGCCTAGCTCCAGTGCGCTAGGCTCTGCTGTCCTCCATGCATATATATTTTTTATTTTTCTTCTTGCGAGCTGCCTCTTGAATATTTTTTTTTCTTCATATTTTTTGTAGAAATTTTGAGATGCCTTCCTCCAATCACAAAATTGACGAATATCCTCCACCTTTGTATTGCCAATGTGATTTCTCCGGCAAGGTAGATTACTTCAAAGTTGCTCAGTCCTCTTCGTTGAGAAAAAGACGGACTGCCTCGGAAGGAAGAGGTTAAGCGGACAAAGGATGATGCGTTTGCTAGTCCGATTGCTGTCGTGGAGCCTGCTGTTAATGAAGGTGGAAAAGAAGAGATCTTCCTTACTTGCTAGTGAGTCGTTGGCTAAAAAGAAACCAAAGATTTCTTCTTCTAGTTGTGGGGGCTCGTTTACTGCTAAAAAAACTTGTTATTGATCTAACTTTTTCCGAGGGGAAGAAAAGACTGTTGAGTTTGAGCTATAAAGCCTGCTGCTTTGAAGGTGGTCACGACCATTGCTGAGAAGATTACCCAGCGTAAGGGTTCAATGGTGTCTTCAATGTCTGGGTTTGTATCGAAACGTTCGTCTAGAGCTAAGTCCGGTTTGGCTTCTGATAGGTTCACTGCTATAAAGAATAGGAAGGTGGATTCTGCTGCTAAAGTGGTGCCAGGGCCTTTTTTCCTACCGTTACGACTGATTCATTTGCTGAGAATGAGAAGTCTACTCACATGGTCAATTGTGAAATGTCCACCGAGTTTGTTTCTAAGGAATTTCTTGAGATTTGTGCGTTGTTGAAGGCCCACCTCCTTGAGGACGTCAATGCATGTGCCAAGTTTATTGATAATGTCGGGAAGGTAGTCCGCTCAAACTCTTTTATGAAGCGTCCTACCTACTCGGGAAAGTCCTTCTTGCTTGTAACTATGCAGAAGACTTTAATCTTGGCTACTGTGTCTATGCGCATTGATCATGATGCTACTAAAGATGCTAAGAAGGTCGAAATGGTGTTAACAGCTCAACTTTGCCTAGCTTCCAAAAAAGTTGAGAAACTCGAAACTGAGCCCGCCATTTTGAAGGGTCAGATGTTTCTGCCTTCACTTTTGTGCAGTTACAGAGAAGGAAGTTAGTCGCTTTGCACCTGTGGTCTAAGACCTTGAGCGTGCCAATTCAAAGTTGCGGTCTGCTTGTTTTTCCAAGGACGATGAGCTTATATTCATGCATGGTGAAGTTTCTTATCTTAAGGATGTTGCCAGTAAGCTTGAGGCCAATGAAGTGGATCTGCAAGGTGTGTTGGCGGCTAGCGAGAGCTTGAAGAAGGAACTGGATAAGCTGCAAATGCTCACATTAGGCTTCCTGAGGAAAATGCATGGCTAAAGAATGAAAGGCTCGGTCACGATGTGGCATTTGCTTCTTGTCAGGCCGATTTCTACAAGCTTGGCTATGTAGACCATCTCTAGGTAGGCCGTCATATTATGAGTTTTCTAAGAATGACTTCGGGACTTACTTCATTTCTCTAGTTGATCTGCTTGACTTCTCGTTTAAGGCTTTCTTTGATGGAGCAGCTGAGGTTAGATTATCAAGACAGGGGTGGTTGAGGATGAACTGATGGAAGCTTTGGCTGCTGAGAACGGTGTGGTTGTTGAAGGCATGGCAGTCGAGGAAGTGGTTGCGCATGCTGCCAATAAGTAGTCTTTTCGTTAAAACCTAGGAATTTTCTTCTTTTCCTTTTTGTTCTGCTTTGTTTGAACTTTGTTGGCCTTTAAGACAATTTATCAATTTGCTAGAAATTAAAAATTGCTTTCTTTTCTTTGCTTCATCATCCATGTCTTTTGCAAAACTTTATCGTATGACGAGTGGCGGGGCAAGCTGTTTCGGCGACGCAGTTGATCCCACGTCATCACTTTAGATTTTAGTTTTAGCTTCAGGGCTTTGGGAGCCTTGCTTGCTCATAATGACTTCTAAAATTTTTCCATAGGATAGGCGACTGGGTAAGCTACTTTGATGAAATAGTCAATCCCACGTGGTCACTTTAGGCTGTAGTCTTGGCTTTGACGCTTAAAGAGCTATACTTGCATGAGGTGATATACGAAATTTCTAACTTATAGAGTCGACGGTTAGACGCATGGCTTTCGTAGAAAGCAAACGAGTTTGTGTGACTACTATAGTCGTGAACTTCAGTTTTGGTGGCTTCATGAGCCTTGGCCCTCCCAAGATGAATTGCAAAACTTTTAACTTATAGAGCTGGTGGCCAGACGCATGGCTTTCATAAAAAGCATATGAGTCCACATAATTGCTATAGTTGTGAATCTCGGCTTTGGTGGCTTCACTAGCCTAAGCCCTTCCTGAGCGAATTGCAAAAAGTTTAACTTATAAAGCTGGCGGCCGGACATGTGGCTTTCATAAAAAGCAGACTAGTCTGTGTAGCTATTATAGTTGTACATTTCAGCTTTGGGTCTTATAAAACTTTTAGCCATGGACATTCGGCTGAATGCACTGCTTTTGAATAAGCAGATGGTTCCGTGTAGTCATAGTAGGTGTAAGTCTCGGCTTATAGATTGCCTAAGGCCGCTAACCTTTGGGTCGTCGGCCGGGCGTCTTACTTACAGAAGTAGACGACTCCAGTGACCACTTTAGGCGTTAGCCCTAGCACTCTAAGGTGTTTTAGGCTTGAGTTATGTGTGAAATTGCGACTCACTAGCTTAGCCTGCCGAGGTGTTGGTCCTTTAATCTTTTAAGCTGCGTGCAGCCCACTACGAATCTCTTAGGCAGCAAAGTAACTGATTCTGTAGGTCATTTGATTAGTATTGCAACACTTTAGAGTCGAGTTACGTTCATGAAGATTGCACACATTGGGCAAGCCATTCTGTCACCTAGGTAGGGATCTTGCACCTAGTGTCTCTTCCGATTAGAGACCCGGGCTCCCATAAAATTGAATCTTTCAGTCAGCTAAAACTTTGAGAAAAGGTTATTGTGGCCAATTCTGGGAGTGTCCGGCCTAGGTATTCGAAAGCCTTCAGGGTAATTGAGCAGTCGAAAACTCATCCACATTTGGATATTTAGAAGTTTACCATTTCGGCATGGGATAGCTGACCCATATGGGTGTCGGGAAATTAATTTACCCTATCGCACTGGAGAGCAGACCCAGATGGGTGTCAGGGAATTAGTTTAGCATATCGCACTAAAGAGCTTACCAGATGGGGGTTTTGAGCAGATGTCAAAGGCAACAGTTGAGCCAGGTTTGTGAATGACTTTTTGGATTTTCATTAAGAATAAAGAAATGTATCAATTATGCTAGAAGGTAGAAACTGCATAACAACTAAGATAATCCTCAGCTTGCAAGGTTTTGTTCGTCGAATGGCTTGAGACTTTAAACTTATTTGGATAGGCTTGAACAGGGTTCAGGAGGTGATGGGAGATTTCCCAAGCATTCCTTCATATTGCTACTTCATGAAAGTTGAATGCATCATTTTTCCGGAGCTATCTGCTTAGACCTGGCAAAGATGCCATTAATCCACATCGTCTTCAATGGGGTTCAATGTTGGCTTTCGCTGCTTGCGTAGGTCGTGCAGTTGACTTGTTGAGGTATTCGTCACACCAAATTTCCTTCGTCAGCTCCTCGAGGTACTGTTTTCACTTCAGGCAGCCATAGGTAGTGAGATCCGTTCCTTGGTGGAATGCGCAATACTTTATGTAATCTAGCTAGGTAAGATAACCCTTCATGAGTGGCAATTGTTCGAACCATGGTTCATCTTGAGCTTACGGAGAATTTGGCCAATTGGAACTATGAACTTGGTGAACATTTCAAGCACTAAGTCATCTCTATTTGGAGAACAGTCCATTTGAATGAAAGCACAAATTTGTCGATGCAAATTTTCGCTTTCTCTTGCCTTGACGAAAATACACCTACAAAACAATGAACACCTTTTGATAAAAAACCTAACCCTTACGCGCCCACGAGGTGAGGTGGTTAGGCCAATGGATCTCCGATGCCTAAGTTAGTTTCTCTGAAAATAGTATGTGTTTAGGGCTTTTAGGGGTAGTAAAGCTTACCAAAATTTTGTAGAGATGGAGTTAGATATGGAGGAGTGGCCGGCCCTCACGTCAGGGTTTTACGTTATATATGGTGACATCCTATTGGCCAAGGTTTATGGAGAGAATATTCTCAAGATATTAAATAGGAAATAATATCTTGAGATAATGCTGTAAATATCTCTAATTGATTTAAATAGGGATTACTTACTTGAATGTGTTCAATTGGGAATGTATTAAAGATAGGATTCAGGTAATTAATCCTTATCTTTAATGCTTTGACTTTTCATTGCCATGGCAGGTGAGAGCTGTAGGCAGCCATATTCAGCTGCATAGACCTTCATGGGTGTTGAGCTGTGCGTGCCAATATCTGATAAGCTTACCCATTTAATGAGGGCAATCTTGTCTTTCTTGAGAAAAAGTTTATGTGTCGCCTCTCAAAGTTTTAGGATTATTTTAGGCTCCACAAATGAGCATAAAATCCATCAAGGCAGTTCATTGCTTTGCTTGCAAGGTTTAAATAAGAACTAAAAAAGACATATTTACTTACAAGGAATAAGAATTTGAGTTATTTGATTCCCGAGTTCCTTGTGTAAACTAAAATATGGATAAGGAAATCATTTCATTCTTTAACTTACATTTGGGGAATAAAAAAAGTGTAAGTTTTCCTATAAAGTTCGTAATTTTTTTTTTAAGGGACCAATTGGTGGCTCCGTAATTAAACACCCAAAAATAAGAAATCGGGTCAACAAGGAGTTGCTAGTTGTTCGGAATCTCTTTCCTTATTCTTTTATTCTTAAGTTTTCCAATTATTTATTTTCTTATTTTTGTTAATAAACATGCCTTAAGAATACAAATAGTATCTACGATGAAAAGGATAGTGGTTTACCTCTATTTCATATTTTATTTTTGTTTACCCCTCGAAATCTTTCCATTACAAATAGTATCAACGATGAAAGGCGGGTAGTAGTTTACCCCTTTCATATTTTATTTTCTATTCCATTTGCCCTTGGAAAATAAGTCTCTTATTTCCATTACATACTCAGAAGCTTTTTATTTTATATATATTGTGGAGCTAAAAATAATCAAGAGATCGTACGTGAATTTTTGGGCAGAAAGGACAAAATTACCCTTGAGGAGCATCGAAATTCCCATGCGCGAGCAATGGACAATCATCCTACAATCAAGTCAAAAGTGTTTGAATCCATCTTCTTCACAAGGTAACCCCCAAAACATTCCTTTTAAATTATGTTAATTAGCTAATTAATAGATTTATTACCTAATTAATCTATTAATGGCTAATTAAACTAGGAATTAACTACAAAATACACTAAAAAACACCACAAAGGGCCGGCCACCTTCTCCCCCAATGCCCTATATATACTACCCCATTTTCTCTAAAAACCTAGGTCTACACTCTTGCTAAATACTCAAAATTCTCCAAACACTTTTTCTCTCTAAATTCTAACTTTGGCATTGGAGGTTCTTCAGCCAAAGCCCCCCATTCATCGTGGTCGTGTGAGGCTCTTGGCCTTGACCTAAGTTGTTATTTGTTTTGTAGGTGCAATTTTGTCCAAGAACAAGGAGGAAGAAATTTGCATCCACAAATTGGTGCTTTCATTGAGAGTTGAGTCCCACACTTGTAGAAGACTCTCACATCCAAGGTTTTTCTCTTTTTCTTGTCCATTTGTAGATTTTTCGTACATTTTTATTATTAGAATTTTTTTTATTTGCAAAAATTCTTTGATAAAACGTAAAAGAGAAGTACAATGACTAGAAATTTAGAAAATTCAAAGAGTGAAAATTCCAATATTCAAGAGATGGGACCGTGACAATCCACGAGGCTAAATGTGACAATAAGTGGTACGACACCACCACCACGAGTTTCTACCAAGGGAACCATCGCGGTGGCTACCACGGTAGCACTCGCGGCGAGGTCCATGGTGTCACCACCACAGCCTGAGCTGTGCCATCCAAGGCTCACAACACCAAGGTCACAGCCCAAGCCAAGTCACTCCATGCCCAACGTGAGCCCAACGCGTTGCCAAGCCGAGCCCAAGCCTCGCACCTGCGTGTGCTGCAGGCCGAGCAGCCCATTCATGTGGCTCAGCCTGCTCTTGTGGTCCAGTATGCTCCCGTCGAGCAACCCACTCTCGTGGCCCAGCCTGCTCCCGTGGCCCAACCTGTTTTTGTGGCCTAGCCTGCTCCCATTAAGCAGCCTACTTTCTTGGCCCAGCCTGCTCATGTGGCATTCTAAGCAGCCTAAATTGGTCCAAGATTGGTTCAACCGTCTCGATTTCAAATTTCTGGGCTTACGATTGAACCGGGGGCATTTTTACCACGTTTCTCCGCGGATTTGACATTTCCCAATTCAAATCTCGCGCCCGAAGCCTACTACACTTCCATTGGCACATTCATTCCAAGCTCTTCCAATCCAAATGGCGAACAACACTTGTCTCGACAAGTCATAGAGTTGACAAGCACCCCTTGCACAACAGACAACCTTGGTGAATCAACTTTTGTAACGCACCGAGATCCAATGTGCCACGAACGAGGTGTCCCGAAGTAAGACAATGGCAGACGAATCTCTCTACCAGCGTCCCCGCAAGCAGCCCATTAACCAACCATGATCAAATTGTTCTGGCAGTTTACGCTTCCGCCTGGGTCTTTGGGATAGCATATACTTTCGTATTAGCGCGCGAATGAGCGTGCATTCCCGATCAACCCCACGGACAAGCATGCGTTCACGGTTGAGGTCACACTCCGATTATCAACATGGACAACCTTTCAGGGAAAGTGTTTATTCACAGCTAGGCTCGCAAGGAGTATTCTCCACCTCACATCAAAGTAGGTAGCACGACAAAAGGAGAGAAGCATTCACTCAATCTGATTCAAGTTCAACCGGCAGCCTGCGAGCAGCCTGTTCACCTGCTGGGAACATGCCACATACACTGCAGCTGCGACATAGATGAGTCAAGCATAGGGAAAAACAACCCAAACCCATAGGTCATGACCGGGAGCAGCCAAAAATTCCACTGCCCTAGCATAAGCAAATTCAAGAAGAAGTTGAGAGGCTCCTAACTGAACGATTGCGCAATTTCTAACGTAACGAGGCTGCTGACGAGGCACTTCAATGAGACATGACCAGCATAAGCATTTCACCATTCACGAATGAGATCGAGTAGATAAATCCACCTCGCGGGTTCACTATGCCTCACTTCACTCCGTACAAGAGAGATGAAGATCTGGATCGACATCTCAAGCACTACCGCAGTACCATGATCCTCTACAGGAACAACGACGCGCTTATGTGCAAAATTTTTGCCACAACTTTACAAGGCGATACGCAAGATTAGTTTCACACTCTACTGCCGCAGTCAATTTGGAGTTTCAATGAACTTTCCTTTGTTTTCAGTAAAGAGTATTCGTCTAACCGCTCAATCAAAAGGACATCCGACCATCTTTTCAACATCGAAAAAGACCCTTGGGAGATAATTCATGACTATGTCAATAAGTTCAATGCAGAGAAAACCAAGATTGTTGGCTGCAACAAGGACATAGCAACGATAGCATTCAGAAATGGGCTTCTCACCGAACATCCTTTATTCAGAAAACTGATCATGGGAGAAGAACTGACCCTAACAGCTTCATATGCTTTGGCAGAAAAACATGCATTATGGGACACGGCAAAGCAGTCTAACAAAAATGAGTCGGAAAAGAAGCACATGGAATGTTCTCCGACCAAAGAAGACTCAACACCTAAAGCATTCACCAAGTTCATAATTCCAATCGGCCAAATTCACCGCAAGCTCAAGAACGAACCTTGGTTTGAACTGCCACCACCCATGAAAGGCGATCTTACCAGGCTAGATCATACAAAGTATTGCTCATTCCATCAAGGACTAGGCCACACTACCAACGGCTGCCTGAAATGGAAGCAATACCTTGAGAAGCTGAAAAATAAGGGCTAATACAACGAGTATCTTGACAGGTCAATGAAACGGCCTACACAAGTAGGGGAAGTCTCTATCACCCCTTGAACCCCGTTTGGGCTTTTCTAAATAAGTTCGAAGTCTCAAGCAGCTCGACAAACAAGGCCTCGCAAGCCGAAGATTATCCAGATTGTTACGCAGTTTCTACACAGTTTTCTTTATTCTCAATGAAGATTCAAGAAGTTACTCATAAGCCTGGCTCAACTGCTATCTACAACAACTGCTTAAAACCCTTTCTGGGTCTGCTCTCTGGTGCGAGAGGATAAACTAATTGATCTCCAGTGCGAGAGTGTAAACCAATTTCCTGACATCCATATAGGTTTACTTTCCAGTGCGAGAGGATAAACTAATTGCTCTCTAGTGTGAGAGGGTAAACTAATTACTCTCCAATGCGAGAGGGTAAACTAATTCCTTGACACCCATCTGGTAAGCTCTCTAGTGTGAGAAGGCCACATAGCTCAAAAGATCAAATTCTTGAGATCAACTAGGCAGCAAATAGTCAGAGGGCAGCAACCACTTTTGCACTTAACAGTTCGCTTATCCGACACTTCATGTTCAATAGCTCCGATCTTGGCAACTTCATCCTTAACTGCTCCATCTACGGTAGTTGAGAAATCAAACTCAAGCAATTTCCTCATTTTTGGCAAGCAGCCCAAACCGTTGTCCATGCGTCGCCACTTCCTCAGACCATGTCGAGCCAATCCTTGACTTCAATTAAGCCAAGCAGCACAAGCAATGGCCCATACGACACCACCTCTTTGGCTTATGCCAAGTCGACTCCTGGCCTCTGCCAGCCGACATGCTGCACCACCCCAACGGCTGCCCCGTGGTAGCACTTCCCAAGAAAAAAAAAAAAAAGAATTAAGTTTTTCTTACATCGGTGCAGCACAAAGAAGACAATGAAATCAATGGAAGACGATTCTTTGCACAGGCAAGCAAAGAAGAGTGCTAGAGGATGGGGAACAAATATCCTCTAGTTTTCTCTCTTTCTTGTAGGGATAAATAATTGCCCTCCGAAGTTGATTTAATCCCCTACTTAAGGTAGGCTTAAATAGGCTTTGAAGGTGATTTATTTCCCTTTCTGAGAATAATGTAATTCCAAGTCCAATAGAGAATCTGCATCAAAATTGGAGATCTCTACACCTGCTGCCCTTTCCTATGAGCAGCCTAGTAGGTATGGGGGCATTTGTGGAGCCAAAAATAATCAAGAGATGACATGTGGATATTTGGGCGGAAAGGACAAAACCTATTTCTTCCATCTTCTCCAGAAGGTAACTCCCAAAACATTCCTTTTAAATTATGTTAATTAGCTAATTAATAGATTTATTACCTAGTTAATCTATTAATGGCTAATCAAACTGCCAATTAACTACAAAATACACTCAAAAACACCACAAAGGGCCAACCACCTTCTCCCCCCATGCCCTATATATACTACCCCATTTTCTCTAAAAACCTAGGTCTACACTCTTGCTAAATACTCAAAACTCTCCAAACACTTTTTCTCTCTAAATTCTAACTTTGGCATTGGAGGTTCTTCGGCCAAAGCCCCCTATTCATCGTGGGCGCGTGAGGCTCTTGGCCTTGACCTAAGTTGTTATTTTTTTTGTAGGTGCAATTTTGTCCAAGAACAAGGAGGAAAAAATATGCATCCACACACACACACACACACACACACACACACACACACACATATATATATATATATATATTTTTTTTTTTTTTGTTTTAACCAGACCGTAGTAGGAATGTCTGGTTAATAGATACTAGCATATGGGCACACACAAAGTATTTAAGAAAAAATTTATTTTTGTTTTTGAAATGGATGGAGAGAGGAAGAGACTGATAGAGAAGGAGGGAGTGGGAAGTTTTTTTTTTATATTTTTTTTATTTTTTAAATTAGAGATATGTTAGGATTACATGTAGGTGAGGTTTTGAAAAAAAAAAAAGCAGCAAAATTTGGTTGTGTGAAATTACATTTCTACCCCATATTTCTTATTCATGTTCTATTTTAATTAAAGGGTTAAACTGACAATTTCATAGGATTTTGATTGATAATGAGTGTTTTATTAATTAGTAGAGATAAGGTGTTGTTTAATAATCTAAAAACTAGGAATGTTTGGTTTGTTAAATTCAAAAATCAAGCGCCTAATCAAAATTCAATTTTCTTTCTACTAATAGATATAATGGTTTAAATTGGATTTATTTTTCTTTCTAATAATGGGTATAATGGTTTGAATTGGAGGAGTGACAAGTAATTGACCAAAACTTATGAGCATAAATGACGCGCACCGACCATCTTTGGTCAAAGCAAAGGAAGTTAAGAAATGCTAGCTGACTTGCATTTTTTTCAAGTGGTTTTTGCCAAATTTTAAAACATCGTATTTACACATATCAATTTGTCATATGGTAGGAATTGGGATACATAACGTTTGCTCCATTTTCTTTTTAAAATAATTGTGGATAAAATTGTAAATATTTATGTGGATAGTATTGGTGGCTCGACATATAAGTATATATGGAGACCAACTAATAATGATAACTTTACTGTGAAGTCTATCTATGTGTTGGACCTAGGCGCCCAAGTGGCAGTGGAACTTTACCTCAAAGTTGCATCTTCCTCGTAAAGTGCTCTCTTTTCTTTGTCTTTGTGTTGCTATACAAATTAGCTACGGATCCTTCATGTGGCATATGTGATGATGATTTTGAATCAATTATTTCTTTAGACTGCTCTTTTGCTGCCAAGGTTTGGAGAAGTTTCCCTGTTCCTGATCAATGTTTACTGATGCATGCACTACTAATTGCTTCTAAAATAATCTCGCTTCCAAAATGTTAGTCTTGGATAATTTGGAATGGAGAATTATTTTTGGCATCACTTGCTGGTTCTTGTGGCATTGCGAAACAAAAGTATTTTTGAACATGATTTTGCTCTCCCTAAAAGTAGGGATAAAAACCCTTAAAAATACTTGCAAGAGAATAAAGTAGTTGTAGTATAAACGGCTTAAGCAAGATCGTTTCCACAAGAATTATTTAAAATAATTTCTGCAAAAGCAAAATCTTAATTAATTATTTGAAAACAAAATTTGGAAAAAATTGATTTTATTACCTGAAATATTAAAAACAAAATTTAAATTAAAACAATTAAAGAAATTAGCAAAATAAAGGAAACAAAAGAAAACGGTTTTGCAAATTAAAGTTGTGAACGTACTAGGGTTCCGATGTCACTTAACAGTCCTATGTAGTTTTACTAATTACTTATGAATTATACATGCAACTTTGAAGGTTAGGTTTTCCTGATGCATATTCAATTTGTGGCAGTCAAGTTAGAATGTATATCAAACATGCAATCCATCTGTAGTATTCAGATCAAATATAAACATGCATGACTCATTACGCTTTGTGAAAATCCTTTGAAAAACCATGTAACCCCAAAGACGTGGCATTCGCTATAGGTGAACTTACAACTATCAATCACAAGAAGCAATACTTAATCCTCCGGTGGCTTTCCGACCGAATTGCATCCGATTACTTATCTAAACATCTTAATGGTAGCTAAGCATTAAGATATAACACAATGATTAATAATTCAAAGTATGCATGCATAACATAATAAACAATTAAATAAAGACTACATATTCATGCTAAAGTTCAAGGCATCACCCTAATGGCTAGAAAGTCTTATTTATACTACTACAAAATAAAATCCTACCTAGAAAAAGTCTTCTAAAAACTAGGAAACATAATAGAATAATAGAATAAGATAACTAGGAAATAAAAGGTTTCCTATTTAACCTGAAATTCAAACTGCAGAGAAAATCTATCTTTTGACCAACCAAATCAACTCTGATTTGGCCCCAAATGGTCTCTTTTTAAACCTTGAGACGTCCCTAACAAATCCTCAGAAGGAGTCTTCCTCAAAATATGCCATCTTGACCTTCAAAGTACCCAAAATGTCCAGAAACGTCAATCTGGGAATGCTGCGCACTGTGCCTTCGTTTCTTCACCACAGTCAAACGGCTTGGTAGAAAAATTTTGAGACAATCATCTTGAAACACTCACGAGCATCCTCCAATTGGAATCACTCTAAAATTCATCCGTTTGGTCATTTTTTGCTTAAGAAAAATTCAAATGTCCTATATTAAAAAAATAAAAAATAAAATTTAACAAAGTATCAAAATTCTACCAAAATAACCAATAAATTATAACTAAGATTAGGGTAAAATATAAAGTATAATATCAACTCATCACATCACTTGCAGGTTCTTGTGGCATTGCAAAACAAAAGTATTTTTGAACATGACTTTGCTCTCCTTGATGCTCCCAAATTTGTTATTATTACCTACTTGAAAGATTGGCTTCGGGCGAAGATGGTTTCTTCCATAAAACCCCTTTGAACACATGCTTTTCTTCATTAGGAACCATCTCCTGAGGGTTGGGTAAAGCTTAATGTTGGAGCTGGCATTGTCCTCAGAAACTCATCGCAGTCATAGGTTTCTGGCTCTTCTATAATCTTGGACGAGGTGAGATTCTAAGTGCTAAAGTTTTGGGTGTTTTTATTGAGCTGCAACTTGCATGGAATAATGAAATTAAGAAGATTTAGGTGGAATTAGATTCTGCACTTGCAGTACAATTGATTTCAAATGCAAAAGTGGATAGTCACCTTCTAGAAAGTTTAGTACTGAATTATCGTTCTCTTATGCACCAAAGTTGGTCTTGTGAAACTTGTCATATCTACCGTGAAAATAATTTTGTTGCTGATGATTTGGCTCGTTTGGGTTTGTCATGTAGTTTGGGTCCAATTTTTTAGCAAGCTCCTTCTTTTTGTCGTCGGTTACTAGTTGCAAATATAGTTAGGGTCTCATGGCCTTGTGATATTCTTATGTAATCTTCCTTTTCGTCTGGGCTTTTGCCTTTTGTCAACAAATAAAATAAAAAAATAAAAAAATAAATCTTTAAGCAATTTGTCATATCAACTTTTT